TGGAAATAATTGGAAATATCAGTGACTCCATCCATTTGAAAATACACATTTTATCTTTAAAACTTTTTTTACCACAGTCTGTTGAACAAGGATTTCCACAATTTTATAAACACTACAAGGTACACATTTTTCTGAATAGGGACTAGATATCACTGAAGGATGAACTTGGCAGTGAATCTGTGGACAGCACCAGGTATTGGAACCTATTCTAAAATCTTCTATGACTTCCCTGCTAATTCATATATGGTTTCTCAGCCAAGTTTAATATCTGTGGGAAATAGTGATCTTATTTACATTTTTATCAATATCCTCTGCTCATCTCCTAAAAATACTAATAATCAATCTGATTAGCCCTAGCTCAGCCGTGGGCAAACTACGGCCCGCGGGCCGGATCCGGCCCGTTTGAAATGAATAAAACTAAAAAAACAAAGACCGCACCCTTTTATGTAATGATGTTTACTTTGAATTTATATTAGTTCACACAAACACTCCATCCATGCTTTTGTTCCGGCCCTCCGGTCCAGTTTAAGAACCCATTGTGGCCCTTGAGTCAAAAAGTTTGCCCACCCCTGCAGCTGGTTTGGCTCAATGTATAGAGCGTTGGCCTGCAGACCGAAGGGTCCCAGGTTTGATTCTGGCCAAGGGCACATGCCTGGGTGGTAGGCTCCATCCCCAGTAGGGGATGTGCAGGAGGCAGCCAATCAATGATTTTCTGTCATCATTGATGTATCTATCTCTCTCTCCCTCTCCTTTCCTCTTTAAAATCAATAAAATATATTTAAATAATCAATCCGATTAAACAATAAGAACATAGAAGTGTGCCAGAAGTTAAAGAAATCAAGGAAGTAAAGGGAAACACCTCCAGCAATTTTGGTTGGAGAAGTTGATATTAAATGTAGAGCTATTGGCCCTGAGAAGGCAGCTAGAGAAAAGAGGGACTGGGCATTTGTTTTTGTTTCTGTTTTCTAATCAATTATTTGGAATCTTAACATATATTTTAAAATATAAAGCAACTTCCATTATCGTAATAAATGTTTTTCGTGAAAGCTTCATTTACTTACATTTCTTTGTATAACACCCTCCCTTTTCCTTGTGTTGGTTACAGGAAGTGAGGTCTAATGTGTGCATACCAACTATGAGGCACAAACAACTCCATTCCCCTCACTCATAGCAGACATAGCTAATCAATCATGTCACGCTTTGCCACTAAAGAGCTAGAATTTGGGGGGCTTCGGGGATCCATTACGCATCAGCTGGTGCTGGCATACAGGTTGAGACATTTCCTATTGTTGGTGGCAGAGAAAAACCTAGGTCAGCATGTCCATCCTCCCTATTTACCAGCTAAGAAATCTTGGGGAAGGCTTTTCAGCTGTTCTGCTGCCATCACAGGACTGTTACATGTTAAAGGATTCAATGCCTGTGAACACGTTTTGTAAACCATGCTGTTGCAGTCACACATTTGAAGAAATCGGCTTAATTTTTGTAGGGTGCTCACCACCATCCTTCTAGCCGGTTTCCTTCCTGGCTCTCCCCATACATATTTATTTGATCTGTTTTATAAGTGTGGGTTGTTTTTATTTTTGGTTTTATTGAAACAGTGCACACCTGCACCCCTTTTGAATGTGACGTCTGATACTAACTAGAAGACAATGCTGCTGGAGGAGGAGAGAGCTCGCAGCCTCACACCTGGCTTGTCATTACCGTGTCTGGCAGTCCTTTCTGCTCCGCTGGAAGCTGTGTGATTAATAACCCCTCTTCCCAATTATGCGGATAACTCCTCTTCCTTTGGCTGTAGACAAGAAATATCTTATGTATGTGCAATGCAAATGGTGGGCTTTGTGAATGCTAATTTCAAAACCAGCTAGGAGTTGATTGGCAGAAAACCGAACACTGGGGTGACAGGCGTGCCAGAGGTCAGAAATCTGTGAAAGAAAGGCTTAGTGAAGGTGGAGAAAAGGCACTGGAGAGATCTGGAGTTAATCAAGAGCAATCGCTGGAAGAGCAGCAGTCTATGAAAGCAGATCTAAGCCAGACATCCTGGAAGAGAAAGCAGGTTCAAAGGCTGGTGGGAAAACAATGAGCAGAGTGCGAGTTTAGCTGACTTTACAAAAAAGCAGGCTGGCACTCAGAAGCCAAGATTATGCCACAAAAATGCATGAACTGTATTTTCTGTCTATCACATCCTTGAAAAGTGCACCTGGTTTGAATCTTTAGGACCCTCACCCCATTTTTGACTGTGACATCCTCAAAGTCAGGGATCCTGACATTTGTTTTTCTGGATGCTGGCAGAGGCCAAGCACTCAGGCAGTGTTCACTGGGCTGGCCTGAACTGAACAGTAGGTTGTCAGGGGCATGATTTGGGTAACACAAATCATTTCGTTTCTTAATCATGACAGCAGAGTGATCAGAATGAATACAGGAAAATGTACTTGGAATCCATTCACTAGGTCAAGCAAAGTGTTCAAGATAAGCCCCATTTTGATTTGCATTCTAAAACGAATGAAGATCTGCTAAATTTTCTGCACAACAGATACTGTCAGCCCAAGGCTGACTAGATAAAAGCAAGCCCAACAACCTTTCTGTCTGTTGAAACTTCTCCAAGCAATTGGCTTGGGTACACTGTTACTAAATTACTCTGAGGTGATCCACAGTTGGCATTGCAAAAGAAGATGCCCCCTGGACAGAAGAAGAGGTGGGAAGGAGAGAGGTAAAAATGCCACATCCTGTGATAGCTTGTGCAAATGACTTCTCTCCACTCTGCTGAGGGCAATGTAGACAGAATTCAGAGCCAGTAGCTTGAAATATCAGTTATATCTGCTCTGAGGGCCACTCCATCCATTGTCTTTGTACTGTAGCCACTTTGCCTGTACAGATGGTTTTTACTTATGGTAAAAATACTTTTTCTTTGGGCAGTATGTCAACCTCAACATATGCTCCCACGTCCAAATGTATTTTTTAGAAAATTACACATCTGCCAAAATTTTACGTGGGGTTTAATAAATCTGTGAACTATACATACACACATTATTTCAACTAACTCTCTAAAATATAACTATCCATGCATATAAACTCTATCTTTATAGCATCCTTGACACATAAATGGAAGCTTTCCAAAATGCGTGGGTACAGAACAAAAGGAAGTGCCAGTTGAAGGAATATTTTATGTACAACCTCTCCCCATCACGTTTATGAAGGTGTTTTATCTGTCTCCTGAAACCAGAAATATTTTACTTGTCCCATGTGAAAATGAGTACTTCATCTGAATGGATTTTAAGTAATGAAATGACTACTTCCATCCCATCAAATCTAACTAATCTTTATTTCAAGATAATCAAAATGAACCGTGTTAGAGTTCAAACATATTCTAGAAAGGTTTGTTTATTAAGAAGTGTCTCAGGTTGGACTTTTCCAGGGAATTCACTCACCACATGAGCTAAGAACATAATTCAAAATGTGGAAATGATTTATGCTGGTTTCTAAGTATTTACAGTTCTTCCTTCTTCCTGGCCATTTTGTGGCTGGGTGGGACTGTGGGACGGGTTCTGGACAATGAACTGTGAGCAATGAGCTTCTCCTCCCACAGAGCATTTTCTGGCTCAAGATCTAGCTTGCTCTCTGGCATGGCAACCCATGATGACTCATGGCGGCTGCTCCTCCGCCTCCTTTCCTTAGTGACAGTAACGGTAGAACCTCCTGCTGACTCAGAAGAATACACTTTTGTGGCTTTTAGTGATAACAGATTTGGAAAGTGCTTACTAGCACAGCATACTTAGCCTATTATAATAAATATATAATAACGCATATATAAATGAAAATATATGTGTATTGTATATATATGTATATACTTCACTTAAAAATCTATTAAGTGAATGTATTAGTTATATAATTGGATTAGTTATATATATGTATATATATCTATCTTTGTTAGTTATATAATTGAATACACACATGCTCACATAGCTTTTTTAAATTCCAAAAGAATTTTATGTAAACTAATTGACACCATTCTACCCAGCACTCTGTCTTGTTAATTAAGAATTGTGAGATAACATCATTCCCAAAGTAGTTAACTGAAAAAAAAGGTAAAAAGCATATCCTACTTGCATTATTTGTTATTAACAATTTTAAGACTATGCACATTAATTGCAGATCTACATGGAATCAGAGAAAAATATATGTGGACCGGCACCTATAGATATGTAATAAATAAATAGAGACATGTATAATACAGTTGACTTAACTTTATAAATCCCACAAATTACTCATTAAGCCTTAGTAAAAGTTTTTTCCTGAGAAAAGTGTATGTTATTTATCTTATTTATCTCTTTGTCATAGTGATACAATATAAAATAATATGTTTTATGTAACATAGGTATGTGTTATGCAAATATGTTCTAAAAGTACACAATAGAAAGGACTTAGGAGAGTTTTTTACCAGTATAATACTGTGCAAAAAGAGGGCATAATTGTCCGAGAACTAGAATTCAAGTCAAAGAAAAGCTGAATTGTTTTGAAAGTGGGGGGGGGGGGGGACAAAAGATGATGGATGGTACTTGGGGGAAATCTAGGAAGATAGGGCAAATGGAGAAGGCATTTTGGAACTAAGAGTACACACAGAAAGAAGCCCAGGCCGACAGGAAGAACACCTACTGAAATCTTATACATTTGGGTGTTGCAGCACGTTCCTAGCGAAAACTCTCTGATCTTCCTTCAGAATCTTTGCAAGTCTACTAAAAGCCAAATAATCAAACCTAAACTGGCTGGATTTCTTATGTAGCATGCTGAAGATGCCAACATCTATGTAATGATTGCTGAAAAGAATCAGCACACTCAGTCCAGGGCAAGGCTTAACCTCAAAATCCCTACTAAAAGTGGCATTAATTAGGAAGAAACAAATAGCCATGTGTTACCTGCGTAGTCCATTTGCCGTGTACTGGGACTGCACAGAAATAAAACAATCCCGGAAGCACTAAAAACAGTGGTTGTCTGTCAACACTTACTGCGAGGACAATCTGGAGGGAACTATGAGCCACTTCTATGTACTGGTACTCCAGAAAACACCCTGAGACCGTGATGTAGCGATGGTCTTCTGGGGCCCAGTCTGGGGCGGGTGTCACTGATGTCACCGTACATCCTGGTCCATTCTCCATCCACCAAGATCGGTGCATTGAAATATTAAAAGTCAGGATAAGGTCTGTTTCCTGCAAGAAGGCAATTTATAAGGATGAGAATTACTTCATAAATGTTAGTTAGCTTATTCGGACTGACTTGTTCTGAGTTTCCCATTTTGAAATGTGGGTTTCTCCACTCCATCCCATCCTTACTTACTGTACTTTATAGGTAGAAAAAAAGCATCTAAAGTAAAACTATCAGTTCTCCCTGAAAATGATGTACCTATGAATTCTACTTATGACAGTTTACCTGACTACACTATAAAAAAATTATTAGTAAAATTATCAGCGGCTTACATTAATTGTAAACCTGAAGAGTCCTTACCTCTTACAACTTGTATTTCAAAGGTTGTAATTTTAACTCTTTTGTCAAGTGAAGATCATCTTCTTTTATTTACTTTTTTAAAGATCATCTTATTTTAAATGTATTTTCCTCTCCCTCAGAATATTCACCTTTTGCCCATTTTAAATATTAAAGTTGTACTTCAGTTTAGCAAAAGTTAATATAATGTTGTCACTAATACTAACATTTGTAAGACCTTTACTTAATAAAACATAACACTACTTTTTTTCCCTGTCCATTCCTACTATTTTAGCATAGTTTTTCAGGGTCTTTTCAATCTTGTCTACTTGTACTATAAAATTAGCCATAACATTTCTTTAGAAATATCATTAGCAAACTCTTGCAGGGTGGAGAAAATAAGTCAACAACTCATTAGACAAAGTTCAGCATGTACATGTTTAGCTGTAAATACAATAAAAGGCATAGATTTTGTACTTAGAGAGCTTATAATCACATATACAAACAAAGTCTTCTAGGAAGAAAATGGGGAAAAGGAATGCATCAAATACAATTTACTACTCAACAAGTCAAAAAATTCATAATAAAATGTAAATGCATATCTTAAACCAGCAATCATTAACTAGATCAGTGATGGCGAACCTATGACACGCGTGTCAGAGGTGACACGTGAACTCATTTTTTGGTTGATTTTTCTTTGTTAAATGGCATTTAAATATATAAAATAAATATCAAAAATACAAATCTTTGTTTTACTATGGTTGCAAATATCAAAAAATTTCTATATGTGATACAGCACCAGAGTTAAGTTAGGGTTTTTCAAAATGCTGGCATGTCGGCTCAAAATGTTCACCATCACTGAACTAGATGGATATAATTTTATATTCTCACTAGAGGCCCGGTGCACAAAGATTTGTGCACTGGCGGGGGAGGGGGATGTCCCTCAGCCCCACTTGTGCCCTCTCACAGTATGGGACCCCTCGGGAGATAACGACCTGCTGGCTTAGGCCTGCTCCCGGGTGGCAGAGGGCAGGCCCAATCCCTAGGTGCAGCCCCTGGTCGGGCTCAGAGCAGGGCTGATTGGGGAGTTGGGGCGCCGCCCCCTGTCATACACAGAGCAGGGCAGATCGGGAGGTTTCAATGCCACCCTCAGTCACGCTCAGGGTAGGGCCGACTGGGGGATTGGGGCACCGCCCCCTGTCACACTCAAGGCAGGGTTGATGGGGAGGTTGCGGTGCCACCCCCTGTCATGCACAGAGCAGGGCCAATCAGGGGGTTGGGGAGCTCCCCCCTGTCACACACAGAGCAGGGCCGATGAGGGGGTTGGGGAGCTCCCCCCTGTCATGCACAGAGTAGGATCGATAGGGGATTTGGGGCACCGCCCCCTGTCACACACAGAGCAGGGAGGATCAGGGGGTTGTGGCCCTGCCCCCTGTGACATACAGAGCTGCAGGGTGATCAGGGGGTTTGGGCGCTGCCCCCTGTCACGCTGCTCCAGGGGCCAGGAGGCCTCGCGGCTCTGCTTGACACCGGGGCAGTGAGGCCTCGCTGCTCCGCTGATCCCTGCACTGGGAGGCCTCGCTGCTCTGCTGAATCCAGTGTTGGGAGGCCTCATGGCTCCCCTGATGCCGGTGCTAGGAGGCATATTACCCTTTTACTATATAGGATAGAGGCCTGTTGCATGAGTGGGGGCCAGCTGGTTTGCCCTGAAGGGTGTCCCGGATCAGGGTGGGGGTCCCGCTTGGGTGCCTGGACAGCCTGGATGAGGCGATGATGGCTGTTTGCAGCTGGTTACATACCCTTCAGGGTGGGGGTCCCCACTGGGGTGCCTGGCCAGTCTGGGTGAGGGGCTGAGGGCCGTTTTCAGGCTGGCGGTCAACTGAAGCTCCCAACCTCTCCTTTTTTTCTTTTTTTTTTTTTATTCTGGGATTTATTTACCTTCTATGGCTGTTACTGGAACTGAGAGCCGGCTTTAGCTCTGAGGCTCGGCTCCAGCTCTGAGACCTTGGCTGCTGATCTGGGTTTGTTTGGGTTCTATAATTGTAACACTGTTGCCACTCCAGCTCTGAGATCCTGGCTGGCTGAAAGTAGGTTTCTGGGGATGGTTTAGCCTCTATTATTGCAACATTGTTTCTTAGACTGCAGCTCAGAGGCCGGCAGTGGCAGGCGGGGAACTTTGGCTTCCTCCTTCACTGGAGCAAGCAAGCCTCCTGTTCGCTTCAGCTGCCTGGCTGCCGGCCGCCATCTTGGTTGGCAGTTAATTTGTATATCTCGCTGATTAGCCAATGGGAAGGGTAGCGAAGTTATGGTTAATTACCATGTTTCTCTATTATTAGATAGGATTTACTTCTTGTAGATGTTTAAACAAAAGTCTGCATGTATGTGCATGTTGTGAACCCTGAGGACTAAGAAGGGCTCCTAGTGGCTACCTGGGCTCAAATAAAAACAAAAACATAAACCAGAACCTAGCAGCCATTTCTGCACAGGTGAACCACACTCCAGAGAGCAGCTCTGCACCTCTGCACCACTAGACTGCCTTCCTCTGGGCCACCAAACTGCCTGCCGGCACTGTGTTTCTGTCACTGGAACCAGCCCTTATAAAGCAGCTACGATAGTCCTATTTCAACCAATAGGGCTGAGGCTTTCCCCATTCTATCAGAGCTGTGCAGTTCTGACCTATAGGAGCAGTTCTATTCTGACCAATCAGGGATCAGGAGCAGGGATTTCTGTCTATATAACCCAGTTCTCCTCTAGGTAGGAGAGCACACATTCCATGGAACAATGAAGATTGTGTTTCCTTGCTGGACCACTATAGAACTGTTCCACAGCAGTGATGGTTCACAGCCACTCTGCATTACCATGAGCTGTTTGCACTGCATAGAGTTTCCTTCTTCACCACATCCCAAACTGGGGGCTCCTGTTGGTATTGAGTTGGCACCAATGACTATCAGCTAACAAGGTGTATATTATTTTAACCACAAAATATAAATTCTTGGTTGTAAAACAGACAATAAAAAGGTCTCCTGGAAGTCTCCTATTAAATTCAACAGAAATTCCTGAGTGTGATCTGCTCCATGCATAACCAATACATTATTTAATTCTCACATATTTATAATTTTGATTTCAAAATAGTAAGGGCTTTTGAGACAAAAAACGAACCTTGGTACTACAAAACAAGGCAGAAAACCACAAACCAAATCTTGTATATTCTGGGTGGATTTTTATTGAAAAACACACAAAATGGGCTCAGAATTGTAAGATTTGAAAACTTTCATATCTTAAGAAAGCTTTCATAATTATTTGTTCAGATTAGAATAGTGACAAAAAAATGTGTCAATATTTTTATTCATCTCTCTTAGTAAGTTCAGATTAAAGGACCCCATTTTTGGTCATGTCATTTTTCAAAATAACAGGGTCTGATGTGTGACATGAAAGTTGTTATTAGCACTAAAATGTGGTTTCTGAAAAGGGCTATGTGTTTTCAGGTCAACACAAGAAGCCTAATTGCTCAACAAATAATAAGCATTTGATTAAAAAAAAAATTGACAAGTAAATGAGAAAATGATACTAATAGCACCTCAGAATTTCAATAAAAAGCTAAAATTTACTTTCAGGGGTTATGGCATTTGAAGAAGAGCATACATGCATATATCTGTTGTGATAGTAAGCAGTGGAGGCTGTATTGCAGAGTTTAGAAGGTGGAGGGTGAGAGTGAGAAGTTTTTGAGTTGCCAATTTTAAAAATCTGAAATATTTTCTTAAATTTCTGGAGTAGTCTACTACTTAGTTATTCTTTTGGAATAATACTGTTGAAAATTGATACAGTCCCATTTTTAGGCTGCTTAGTTACTATCTAAAAGGCTAGAAACTGCACTTCTATGTAAATGGAAATTAGGTTATAGTTATCATCATAGTTACTAACAAATTTAATTATTCATATGCCACATGCAAAACACTCTAGCAGGTCGTAATGATGTAAACAGATAGAAAATGCTATCACTAATATCACAGGCTTGTTATCTTTTTGGGGGACGAGGTACAAAGAGAAAATGTAACTATACGAGAAAGCGTTGGTTAAATACGCAATGAGGGGTGTGGGCAATCTGTGCACAGGTCCTTGGAGAGTGAGATGCCTGTGAACTCAGGTGAGACAGCCCCTAGAAGTGGGAACTCTGGCTGGGGCCAGAAAGAAGGGCCAGGCTTGGACAGGCCATCAGCCTGGGGAGGGGAAACATTTTAAGTAGAATGGACCAGATAGTAAAAATTGCAGAGCTAAGACTACTTATATATTTATGGACCTGTAAGTAGCCTTTATTTTATGAGATGAGAGTTTGTAAGAAGGAGGAGTATAAAATAGCTTTGGAAAGATAAGCTGGGGTTAGACTGGGAGAGACCTAAACGTTAAATCAAACATCCTAGCCTACTGAAGGATGTTTGATCAGCGACAGGACGCTGGCACTGCCAACCATGAACAACGAGTAATTACAATAGACATAACCAAGTCTCCTGTAGCACTGCAGTGGACAGTGCGGGAAACGTGATAAGTCCAGGGCAGGTGCTGAATTAAACAACAGTCATTATGGAGGTGATGACACAAATGTTGTAAGACCCGAAGGCTTGACCCCCGTCACCCAGACTCTTCTGCTGAGTTCAATAATGGTCCAGGGAAGCTCAGACCAGGACCACTGCTTTCAATACTCTCAGAGTAGGAATGGGAACAAGTCAGCATT